CTACCGTTGAGCTAAAATCCTTTCAAGAGATAGTTTAATTTTCAAAGTGACGACAGACCGTGGCTGAGAAATTTTAGGCATTTAAGCAAACACATACATTTGATGTTGTTCCCTATCCCCCCGAGATCTCTCTTGTTGATAGTAAATGTGTTTATAAGGTCAAATATCCTCTTGATGGCACCATTGAAAGTCGGAAAGGTCATTTAGTAGCTCGAGATTTTACTCAGCAACAAGGTATTGATTATGAGGAGACATTTACTCCTGTTGCTTAGATGCACATCGTTCATACTCTACTTACGATTGCTGTTGCTCGTCATTAACCCTTATACCAGATGGATGTCAAGAATGCTTTTCTCCATGGCTCTTTATCTGAGACAATATATATGCAACCGCCTCCAGGGTTTAATATTCCTCCGGGACACATATGTCTCATTCGTCGTGCTATTTATGGTTTCAAGCAGGCACTCCGTGCTTGGTTTGAGTTTTTTCGCGATGTCATGCTCAAGGCGGGATTTATAGAGAGTCATCAAGATGCTTCTCTATTTGTTCGCACTATATCGCGTGGCAGAGTTTTATTACTCCTTTCTGTAGATGATATGATCATTACAGGTGATGATGCTACGGGTATACAGTTCGCAAAATCTCAATTACAACAACAGTTCCACATGAAAGATCTTGGATCTCTTCGTCATTTTCTTGGTCTAGAAATTTCTCAGGGCCCGCGGGGTGTACTACTGTCTCAACAAAAGTATCTCTCAGATATTCTAGATCACGCTGAGCTAACTGACGGTGTAACTGTCGATACTTCACTTCAACATAATATCAAATTTCGCTCTACTAATGGTGAACCTCTATATGATCCTACCCGATACTGACATCTTATTGGCCAGTTGGTCTATCTGTGTATCTCTCGACCAGATATCTATCATGTTGTTGGCATTGTCAGTCAATTTGTTAGTGCCCCATGTTCTGCACACTATGTTGCCTTATTATAGATTCTTCAGTACCTCCGGGGTACTAGCACTCGCTCTCTTCTGTTTCCTACTACCTCCAAGTTAGAGTTTTATGCATATTCTGATGCTGATTAGGCTGATGATCCCACTACCATGAAGTCTATCACAAGTTATTATATATTTCTTGGTGATTCTCTTATTTCCTGACAGAGTAATAAATAAGATATTATTGCTCTTTTCAGCACTGAGGCAGAGTATCGTGCAATGTCCATAACAGCTAAAGAGATTATTCATCTTCGTCGTCTTCTCAGTGATTTTTGGTATTTCTGTTACGACTCATACTCCTCTCTATTGTGATAATAAGAGTGTTATCTAGATTGTTAATAATCCAGTATTTCATGAGAGGACCAAACATATTGAGATCAACGCTCATTTTGTTCGTCGACAAGTTATCAAGAATAAGATAATTCTACTTCTTCATGTCTCATCCGCTGACAAGCTTGCAGATTTCTTCACAAATGCCTTACCCGTTCATCGATTTCAGTTTCTTGTACGTAAACTCACTTTGTTTGATCCAGCATGAGTTTGAGGGGGCTGTTGATAATATTGTGTTAGTAGTGGGTTTAGTCCCACATTGGTTATGAGGACAAATCTCACCCTCCTCTCTCTCTCTCTCTCTCTCTATATATATATATAATATATATATATATACACACACGCACCCAATATTCAATTCAAGGAAATTTTAATATATATATATATACACACACGCACCCAATATTCAATTCAAGGAAATTTTACTAAAGATATATATACACACACGCACCCAATATTCAATTCAAGGAAATTTTACTAAAGAATCTCTCTTACTTTAACACTTGTGATGAAAAGAGTCCTCTCTTTTGTGAGTTTGTGGATTCTATTGTGGGAATGGAGACAACAAACTTACCTTTACTGCCATGACTGTTCTCATATAGCAATTTTTTTAATGGATAAAAGGGGGGAAAAGAGGTTACAGTGTAATGGCCAATTATTAGAATCTGAAATTGGCCTCCAAAGGGACAAGAAAATGAAATGTTTTAGAGATGTAAAGTTTACATGATTCTACGTCTACGTTCTATAATCTTCAACTTTAATGTAAAAGGTTACATGGTTCTATGTCCAGGTTCTATAATCATCAACATCAGCTGCAATATTTTTACCATTAAGAAAAATTTTATGCGCAATGGTTCTGTTTTATGAAGCATTACAATTTATCATTGCGTGTTTTGACCAATGACTATGAGAATTTTACTCTACTTTTTGTGGTCCTTTCTTTTTTTCATTTCTTTACTTTTTATTAGTCGCACCCCACCCCACCCCACCAAAAAAAAAAGGCTTTCTTACAATATCCACGTAATAAATATTACGAACCAATGATTTCTATTTATTTCTTGACAACCTCGAATAATCTTCTTGATGAATAAATTCGACAATGGGATTACAAAATGGATCAAGATCATAACTTACTTTTTTTTAGGAAGAACTTATGAAACCTGCAATTTAAATGCCATTGTCATTATGCTCAATATGATTTTCCATGTTTCTGGATTGGAAAAAAAAACAATATGTGTCATGATTGATTCATGGTAAGACTTTATATTATTCGAAAAGAAAACAATATGTGTGATCCTCATTCATAAAAGATTAGCTAAAAACCAATCTATGATTTATAGTTTATCTTCTTTTTGGGTGCTTTTGTTGGTATCCACATCATCCCTGAACTAATCAATCCTTAATCATATTCTAAATAAGGAGCTAATAGACAATACGGATAGTGCACGAAATTTTTGCCTAACTCTACACACATTGTATGTGAGTCATCACCAAGTGCCCCCCCCCCCAC